GCGCCGCAAATGCCACTCGTGCGTCAGTCCGCCCGCGTTCTTTGCCTCGTTGTCTTCTTTCTGACCCGCGAGCGCAGGCGCGTCGCGCTCGGGCGGGCGCGACGCCCTCTGCTCACCCACGTCGCGCGTTGCATGCGACGCTTCATGGGCGGGGCGGACTTGGGGCCGCCAGCTGAGCAAAGGATGCTGCATGTCCCTGGCAGGCGATCGCGCCAGAGCCTTGAAGGAGCAGATTGTCGAGATTCGCCCTGGCACTTCGGAACAGAAGAAGGAGACAGGGGTAGAGGGCGAATGGGCGCGGAGCGGCCCATGGAAGAAAGGGCCACCATCACGCTGGTCGCGACGGTAAGAAAGAGGCAGCAACTGGAGCTAGTCACGACTGGCAGCCAAGCCCATGGGGATCTTGGCAGGCCTGGGGCTCATCGGAGTCGCGGCGATCTTGGAGCACGAGCGGCGCGGTTGGGTCAATGGTTCGACGCGACGAAATCTTGGCATTGCCGAGTTGGACACACCACAGACCATGGAAGAGGGCAACCTGGCGCTGGAACACAGGCGCGGACGTGCTAAATTGGAGACGTTTCGGTTAGCGTTGAATCAGTTCGTTGGGGCATCTTTTGCCGAACTCGAAGACCTCACTGTTCTGAATATTGTGGGCGACCATTGCCTCGCCGCCGTTGACGCGCGAATGTGCACCGTGGTTGGCGACGGCAAACGGGGTGACCTCAAGCGGTCTGCCAGGTTGAAGGGCCTTTTGTCAGAAGAAGGCGCGGGGCTCGCGCCCCGAGGAGTGCATGGCCTCAGGGCGCTCGCGCAGAGGCGCACGGACTTCCGCGATGTTGTTTGGGCTCTTCGACAAGAAGACTGCGGGGGCGCCGAGAGACTCCCGCCCAGCGGCTCGGCGACACGACCGAGCCTTGCCGCCTAGCATCGCGAGGACTACGTTCCAGGTTCAGCGCGCGATGGTGCCACGGCATGTTCGCTTCAGCATTAATTCCCCTTTTCCCCCGTTTCCGTCGGAGGTCGGTCAGTCCTTTTTCTGCAAGAAAGGAAGATTGCGACGAGGATGAGGACGACGAGCTCGACGATCCGCACCTTGACGACGCCTCGGCGCCCCTGGCCGAGATCCACGATATCGATTTGCACGAGGGCCAGATCGACGAAGCCCTCGCACTGGCCGGGTCGGGATCGAACGTCGGGACGTGGAAACACAACGCGGACTTGAAGCGGGCAGCCAAGATGGGCCGCGAGATTCGGGTAGCCGCGCGAAGGAGAGCAGGCCCGGCGCCCTTGGCCACCTGGGCCGAGGGGCGGCCAGGGGGAGGAGGTCGTGTCCGCGACAACCTGGGTCGAGTTGGCAAGGGCGACCGAGGCCGGTCGCGGCCGCTTGTCCCCATTGCAGCTCGCTGCCGTGACCGAGTGCCAGATCTGCCACTGGAGTGGCTGCGGAGGGTGCGATTGCCCCAATGCCGCGTCTCGCGGCGCGGCGGATCTGGGCGACCGTCGGAAGCTCTCAGCAGAGTCTCAGCACACGTGTGCGACGGCTGCTGGTTTCAGGATCGCCAAATTTTGCGGAACCTTGCGGCGTGGCAGGGGGCCTAGGAGGAGGCGTCGAGCAAAGCCGTTTTCTTCAGTTTTTGGTCGACCCGGGGCCCCATCGATCCGGGGGCCTGCGGCCCCGGGGCCTGTGGGCCGAGGGCCAGCGGCGCTGGCCGAGCGTTTGCGCGGAGACCGCGCGCCCGCGACCCCAGTCTTTCTGGCGTGCTCGGGATTGCGGAGACCGCGGCACCGAGCGTCAAATATTTCTTACAGCGTAAGCGCAATTTTTCCTGAAGTTCTGGCGCGCGTGATCGGCTTGGGTCAGAGCGTTATGAAGTCACGTGCCCTCGAGGAGTCGATACCGCATGCTTTGTTGGGCCCAGGTCGCTGGCGCGCCGACGTCGTTAGACCGCTGATCGCAGAATGCCAGGTCCCGCCGCCAGCTTTCACACCTCGAGCCCAGCCCCTTTTTCTCTCAGGGGCTCTTCGCCGCGCATCAATATCAACATCCCCATCATCCTCGCGCTCCTCGCCGCAAGAGCCACGGGGCCTTCGCCCCCGGGCTTCCGCGACCAATCGGGCCCGAAGGGAGGCTATTTGCAGCGGGTCTCCGAGGCCCCAGAGATGCCCGGCGTGGCCCTGGGGCCGCGCGACTGTTCCTCCCACGGGCCCCTGTGCAGGCCCGCGCCGGTCGCGGGCTCAGTCATTGCCCCCCGAACAGGACGGGCCTCCATGATCAACGCGAAAGGCTGGTGGAAGACAGCCCAGCGGAAGAGAAGCAGGCGGCCATCCCAGGGTCAGGGGCATGCACTGTTACGTCGATTATGCCGCGCGTCTGGGCCCCAGCTCGAGCTCCAGTTATGCGAAATATCTTTGCTGTTCGAGTCAGCCCCCCGATCGCTCCGCAGAGCCAGCGGCAGTTTTTTCGCCATGACGTTCCTCGCCCGGTTGGCGCCCGCCGTCAGAGGTCCGAGACTGCCAAGAAGGGCGAGGCGCGGATCCGTCAGCGTCGGCTCACCCAGACTGGGCAGGGCTCCGAGGCCGAGACGATCGAGCGCGCCGACGCGCCAGAGGGTTCGGCGGCGGTTCCCCCCCCAGCGCCGACGGGCGCCGCGTCGCCGGCGACCTCCGCGGGGGCGGTCTCGACGGCAGCGGACTCTTCGAGTGGCGCGGTCTCGAGGGCATCGGGCTCGAGCGCAGCAGGTTAACCACGAGGAACGCAGCAGCCGCGGCAACGGAGTGGCCATCGCCGCCGCCGCCCAGCGGCCCGCCCCCAGGCTGGGCGCCCCCAGCCTCGATATCGGGCGCGGCGCAGGCGTTTCCCGCGGGGGCGCGGCGGCCCCGCAGCAGCCGCCGCGCAAGCCTGGGCTGGAACGCCAGCACCCGCCCGAGGCGACCGGGGCGGGAGGGAGAGCCGGCGCAGTCTATGCGGCCCGCGCTCGGCGCCGGTGCCCCGCCAGCAGGCGGCCAGGGAAAATGGAGGGCTTCCGCAGACAGCAGCGGAGGCAGCGCTCTCGGAGGCGCCCCCGGCGCAGGAGGCCGCGCGGACTACCCGGGGCGATCCTTCCTCAGGGCCAGAGGGGCCGCGCCGACGACGATCGACAGCTTGACCGCGCTCCCCCGCGGGGCCTGGGCGGCCGCTGCGCGGGATGCCCAGGGGCCCGAGAGCACCGGGGGGAGCTCAGACCGCGTGCGAGAGAATGCACGAGGCCATCAACGCGCACCAGCATTCATTCACTCAATACGAGGAGGGGCTCCAGCATATTTGCCAGTCAGTCGCGCAGAACGAGCGCGCGCGGAGTGGTTTCGAAGATTTCGGCGAGGTGGCCGGCGAGTTGCAGACGACGGTGGCGACCGCAGCATCGGCCTGAACGTCCTCGAGGCGCTGCTCGGGCAGCTGGCGACCGCGCTGGTCGGCAGCGCAGTGGCCGCGATGTACTGCGCGGCGGTGCGCGACCCGCGGGTCCCTCAGAACCCCGTAGAGGGCGGCGGTGCGTCGTCAGGCAGCGGCGCTCTTCCGTCCGGGAGCGGGCCCGGAGGGCGTCATAGATGAGCGCGATCCACTATTCGCAAAGTAACGAGTCGCAAATGACCTGGATCCGCCGTGGGGGATGCGCGATCCATCGCGTCGCGAAACAGTATGTGCGGCTGCTTTGTTGCAGGATCTGGGCATCCGGAGGCTGGTGTGGGAATGACAAGTTTGCCTTCCTGAGACGGGGTCGGGATTTCAAGGCACCGAGCGCGTTCCACCATTCGCGAAATGCCTACTCGCAAACGTTTTTTTTCCAAAACTCATATGTTTGTCTCGATGTAACAGTTATTTCGATGTGTATATACATAAAGACGTCTGTATGTATACGCGTATATATATACATATATATATGTCCATACATCCATATATATATATACATGTCGTAAATCCTCTGCAGCGAATTCATGCCACTTACGAGTACTTGCTTTGCGAGTCGTGGAGCGCTCGTGTTTATTCAGGGGGCAAGATCGTGGCGTCGAAGTTTTGGGCATGTGTTGCCCTCCCGGTCGTCCTTCCGTCCGTTTCCGTTCCACCTCTTTGACCCTCCTCACCCCCCCTTTCCAGTTTCCCCCCTTCCGGCCCCCCTGCTCCTTCCCCGTCGTCCTCCTCGCCCCTATCGGCCTACACCTCTTCCCTCCTCGTGATAATCTTTCTCTTGTTCGGTCACCCGACGAGCCGCGACGATACTTCCGCCTCGCGAAGCGCGGCTTGGGCCAGGGGGCCGTCAGAGGACGACTCGAAGTGAGAGGCCGGCCCCCGCGAAGGGGATGAAGGAGCAAGGGGAGAGGAGGGGCGCGGATTTTGGGAGGATATGGGAGGAACAGTGCGGCAGGTTCGCGTCGTGTCGACCGGCGAAGACCCCAGCGCGGGCGTTCAAAGTTGAACGCCGCTTGTGGCCCAGAATCGGCCCATCCTTGAACGATCCCGCCTTTTTGAAAGGGCCGATCGTGCAAGTTTGAACGATCCCCGCAGTGTCAGGAACCAACGCCAGGGTCGACGCGACGCAAATTTGCCGCATGGGGAGCCTGAGGACACGACAGCGTGAGGATTGACGGAGGAGGAGGGAAGACAGGGAGCAGCGATCGTTCGATTCAAAGCGGCAGCCCGGCCAAGCTCGGGTTGGAACACATGGTCGGGGCCTGAGAGACGGGGGTCGATGCAAACCGCGGTCAGCCAGGGCACCGGATCTTGCAGGATCCTGCGAAGACCTCTCTGGCTGACCCGGGTCAGCGAGCCGCTCGTGGCCGCGAGGTGTCCGCGCATATTGGCTGACCTGGGTTTGCGAAGACCTGCGTTGCAATTGTTTTTCCTGCATTGCAGTTGTTTGGTTTCCTGCTGACCCGGGTCTGGATTGACCCGGGTCAGAAGATCCCCGACATTGGTCTAAAAGTTCTCAAGGCTCGTATGGGGATTGGATACCCATCGTTCCCAAGTTCACAGTGCTCGGCCAGTGCAGTTCCGTATTCAGAATTCCCGACCCGCCCGACCATGATGTGGTAGTCATGTCACATCGGAACGTATCGACCCCAACATGTTTGCCAGTGATCCTTCGCGCACATGGTTTTTCTGGCGCAGGAAGGGGAGCTTACAGGTCTGATAAGGCCGCCAAGTTTCAGTGTCGCTGCGCATCCCATGCAACAGGATCAAACAAGTATATTGGGAAGCTTGCTTGGCAGATGCCACAATTGTCGGAGTGCTGCACCTCATTATGCACACTCGTGTCATCGCTTGCTTGCGCACCCACGCAGAATTTTGCTTCAAGCGCAGCCTGATTGTTGGCCCGGACTCTGGCAGAAATAGCGATTGGTACGCCCCCCGGATGTTCTATGTCTTTCTTCCCATTGGAAGACATATTGATGCAGAGCGGAACGTTGAAAAGACCGCAAGTTGGGGCACGCAAAGGCAGAGGTTGGACAGAGAGCTTGGGGTAGCGGGGCGGTTAGCGTTAGAATGCAATTCTCGGGAGGTTAGGTTAAGCATCAGCGTTGGCAGATCCTTGGGCGAAAATTGATACAATCTGGCATCAGCCCGTTCTTTTTCGTTGTGCCCCACTGTGTATGGCTGAATACTGTGCCCAATACTCGGCGGCGAGCGAGGGAGGGAAATGCGAAGGAGACGGCCTTCTCAGAAGGCGGCGGGACTTCTCAGAAGCCCTCGCGCCTTCTGAGATGTTGTTTTGTCTTCGGGGAAGGCTTAGAACACTTCACAGGAGGCCGGGGGACGTTCGAGCCTTCTGAGAAGGCTGTCTCCTTCTCGCTTCCCCCCTCTTCGCTCGCCGCCGAATATGACTTAAGCGGGCTTATTCGGCCTCCATCGTTCTTTCGAGTTTCTGAGTTTGTACAGTGGCGGCCTCCATGGCTTATTCGGCTTCTGAGTTTGCACAGTGGGCGGCGCGCGCAGCATATATATATATATAGATATATATATATATATATATATATATATGTGTTGTTTGTCCTGCCCCTCGCGGGCCATTCTATGCCAGGACGTTCTGCTTCTGCTTCTGCATCGTTCTTTCGAGTTGCCTCTCCCAGAAGGGCCCTGGACACTCGTGAGGGGTATAGGGGCGGCAGGGGAAGACTGGGGAAAGGGAACGAGGGCGGAGCGGGGCGGGGCCTCGGGGCAGCAGGAGTATGCGAGAAGAGTAACAAATAGTCGTGTGACGATTGTGAGGAGGAGGAGGAGGAGGAGGCGGAGGAGGAGGAGGAGGAGGGGGAACAGGAGGAGGAGGAGGAGGAGGAGGAGCAGGAGTTTTCCTGGTTTGAGTCTTTCCTGTTTTTCTTTTCAAGTCCGCATGTTGGAGGCCATCCCCGACCCAGTTTTGGACCGCCGCTCCCGGGAGGTGGGGCTCGACATCGGCGCTGGTGCATCCTTTGATCCCGTCGTTGCTTCCAGTTAGGCTCGATCTGTCTTGACCCCGATCAGTGATCCGCTCAGTCCAGCCTGTCTTGCGCCTCATTCGATCCAAATCGGTTCGGTGGCTTTCGTAGCTAATCTGGCGAACTATTCCTTAAACCGTTCCCCCGAAGACCTCCCAGGAGGTGCTTCCTAAGTAGTGGATGGAACGGGGGTGAGGAAAGGACGGAGGCATCGTTGGGCCGCCCACGGCACAAGGGCCGTATCTCTTGTGAACTATCCATACATGAAGCTGCGTTTCCATGGATGGCCGAAGAGGCACGGGCGTTTTACTTCGTCGGTGGGGGGCGGGGACTGTCAGCAGGGAGCATGCTCTCTGGAGGTCTCCCGCGGCCTCCGTAGGCCAGAGAGGGTCCCAGAGCGTTTTGGCGCTTGGACCCTCGATCGATGCCGGGAAAGATGGAAATCGAGGGACGCCCCAGAGCAGACAGGAGGAGTCACGGATGGAGCGAGGGACGGATGGTAAGCCACGGATTTTGATTCCACCTTGGAAGTGCCATGTGAGGAAAAAGGTCCGGCTTCATCAAGGTACCCAAGTCGAGGTTTCTGAGAGGGACCTGAGAGGGTCCCGAGGGAGTCCTGAGAGGTTTCCAAGAGGTCCTAGGAGGTTCTCGAGAGACTTTTGAGGGGCTCCCAGGGGGCTTTCGAGAGGCTCTTGCGAGATTCTCGAGAGGACACTAAGGGGCTTATGAAAGGGTCCTACGAAGCCATCGGGAAGCTCGTGAGAGGGTCCTGAGATCGGGTGTTGCTAGAAGTGCCCCTGGTCCAAGGTGCCCCCAGGATTTCCAAGGAGGCCCCCAGGGCCTCCAGAGCACCCCTCATGAGGCCCAGAGGGCCCCCGGGGGGGCACCTTGGGCCAGGGGCATCTTTAGCAACTCCCGATGGGAGGCCCACGAGAGGGTCCTGAGAGGCTTCCGAGAGGCTTCTGAGAGGCAAGTGGCACGACCGCCCCTTGGAGGGGGCGGAGGGCAGGTGACGGCAGCGGGCCGGCAGTCGACCGGGTTTTTCGCCCGCAGCCGATTCTGAAGTCTTGTTCAGCTTCATGGTAGCATTGAGGCGAGACGCTACCTGGACAAAAAGTTACGTCGCATGTTCGGGAGACCTCGTCTGTCTCAAAATTTGTATCCTTTCTTTTCTGTGCCCAATGCGGGTTCGATGCGGACTCAACGCGGATTAGACGTGCGTTCGACGCGGATTCGACGAGTGCGACATGGATTCGACACGGATTCGACGCGGATAGGGGCGCGACGGGACAGACAAGGTCCCCCGAAGATGCAGCACAAAGTTTCATGATAGCCTTGAGGCAAGACGATATCAGGACAAAAGGGCGTGTCAGGAGCGTCGACGTGAATATCCCCAGCAGATCACCCCAATTCCAGAGTGCCGAGAGGCTCCTGCAAGGCTCACGAGACGCCACTTCCTGACGGGGTCCTGAGAGGCTCATGAGAGGGCCCCGTGAGGCTCATGAGAGGGCCCTGAGAGGATCTTGGGAGGGTCATGACAGTCTCCGAAGAGGTCCTGAGGCTCTTGAGATCTTGGGAGCGTCTTCAGAGGGTCATGAGAGTCGGGGGTGGACAGAACCCCCAACAGTGACACGTCGATTAGTGAATTGTCCGTTTTCGGTTTTCGTGAGGGCGCCGTGGCCGTTATTTTCCAGGCTTGCGCCCGCCAGGTTTGGGCCCGAAGTCGTTTTCACTAAACCACGTTTTACTAAAGGGAGGTTTGTCCATCCCCGAGAGAGTCTCCTTGGGAGAGGGCCCTGAGGCCCAAGAGGCGTCTTATTCGATAGAACAGCACACGACGGCGGCGCGCCGGCAGCCGGACGGCACCGCGAGCGCAGCCGCTGGGAGCCCGCCCGGGCGAGAGCAAAGGCAGAAGCCTACAGCCAGATGCTATCACGAAACGAGGTTACAACGCCGTACCCAGATACTGGGGGAACAAGAAGTGGCATAAAGATACAAGCTCGGAGGGCCGCGCAGACTCCTCGGATCCGCGCTGGACCCCCCCGCGGCGCTTCCGGCGCCGCCCCTGGCGCGCTCCGCGCGCCAGGGAGGGGGGGGTCCAGCGCGGATCGGAGGAGTCTGCGCGGCCCTCCGAGTTTGTATGTTTGCGTCACTTCTTGTTCCCCTCGATGTGTTCCTCTCTCTTCGCGGGTCGCACGTCTGAGCAAGCGACCCGTTCGTTCTTGCCCCCCTAATCTCCCGCCCCCCTCCGCCTCTATTCCTTCTCCGTTCGTCGCCCGTGCCCTGTTCTTCTGCCATGACGTTCCGTTTCCATGTGGTTGCCATCAGTGTCATCTTGTTTTTGATTGTTCCGCATATGGTTTCCTTCTTGATCATCCCTTCTTACATCCTTCAAGCTCTGAGTTGGTCTGGTTGCTGGGAAGGCTTGCAGAGGTCAAGCTCATTCTGCTCAATAATGGTTCTATCCTTTGCTTATGCTACACTGCCGACCCCGGATGCCTCTCTATCGGGTTCGCATTTCTCGTATTTCGTCGGTGTTGCGTGATACCGTGGGAAGCCCAAAGCGGTGATTAAAATGACCACTGTTCGATCGTCTTGAGGGCCTCTGCGGGTGCTTTTTAGAACATACTGTATGGTTTCTAGGGCCGTCTAGGCGCATCTTGAGGACTTCGTGGGGAACCTCTTGGTACCGTGCGGTTAGTTTTGTTGAGGCTCCTGATGTCACCGCACAGTATATAACCGCGCCATCTTGGTGGTCCTAGTCTTGGGGTTCGGGGAGGAGTTTGGGAGGAGGCAAGGATTTCACATGCCGATGAACCCCGAGGGGTCGGCGAATCGTTCCTTTGGATGCTCGCTGTGCCCGTACTGCTCTTGCGCATTCTTCCAATGGCGCTGCCTCTGCTTAGGTATTCCCGTGCGCCATCACCCACAATGGACTCCAAGATGCAGAGTGGGAATGGGAGCGGGCAGATGCTTCCTAAGGCGCAAGTTGCGACAAGCAGGTGCGTCAGATGAGCAATGCACGGTAGCGTGGTTCTGTAACGTTGCAGTGTTTGGTTCGTGTTGTTTTTTATGTTTACAACTATACACAAATATATAGAGAGAGATCGATAGTCTCTCTCTATATGTGTGTATATGTATAGATTAACGTTTCTCTCTCTCTCTCTCTCTCTTTCTGTCATTCTTCCTACATCGATGCGCCGATACATATACATAGTATGTATGCACACATGTATACCGACACTGCTATACACATACACACGTACATGTATATGCATACAAGATCCATTGCCCACCCAGCCTGTTTCGGCTTCTCCTCCCCGCCCCCCGCTTGGAAGTGACGAACATATGGGGCTGCCTTCCAGCCACGGACGCAGGGGTTCGGCACTCGTTTGCTTCCCCCGTCTTCTCCTGAGGAGGAGGCGGAGGAGGAGGAGGAGGAGGAGGAGGAGGAGGAGGTCTCTCTCTCTCTCTCTCTCTCTCTCTTCTCTCCCTCTCCACCCCGAGCTGCTCAACAAGCACTCCCCCTTGCCACTCCCTCCGACGGCCAGGCCCCTGGGCCTCCCCCCTCCCACCGCGCAACCCGAACCCGGCCCCGAACATGCGATCCGCCCACCCGGCCCGCGAAACCCGCGGGGGACAGCCCACATCTTTCAGGAGGGAAAAAAAAACACAGACACAATTAATCGTCGATCCCCCGGAAAATATGGGAAAATATGGGAAGTGGGGGGGAAGACAAAAACCCAGAATCTAGGAAATTATGGGGAATCTTTTTATTTGTTTGTATTTATTTGTGTGTCCTGGGGCCCCTTCACTCTTTGCGCCCCACGCGACAGCCACTTCCTTGAGGCGCGACGCTGCGAAGACGCGCCGCATCTGATGGGCGTACGCGACGGCCACTTCCTTGAGGCGCGACGCTGCGAAGGTAGCGCCACCTGCCACTACCATAATCAGGAGGGCAAGGTGAGGAGGTGGAGAGGGGGAGGAAGAGAAGGAGGGGGAGGAGGAGGAGGAGGAAGAGGAGGAGGAGGAGGAAGGAGGGGGAGGAGGAGGAGGAGGGGCAGGAGGAGGAGGACCCCCTCCCCCCCCTCCCGCTTATGGTAGTGGTAGTGGAAAACAAGCCAATCAACATCGCGATAAATCACAGCGGGAATCATACACACAATCCTTCGACCGCAGTTTTCGAGCCAGACTGGATCGGTGATGGCCCGGGGCCCGACACCAGGCGAAAACGCCCAGATTTAAAAAAAGAGCGCCGTCCGGATCTTCGAGGAGCCATGTGCTCTTTCCGTCCAAGTGCCATTCAAGTAGGGGGTCGACTACAGGATTGATTGACCCCAAAATCGATCCGCACGACAACGCAGAATGTTCCGCAGGGTGTCTTGAGTGAGTGGCCCCGAGTTCGGGGCCCTCTGGCCTCATCGTTCTTCCGGAGGTCTCCCACGAGCTGTTTCCTGAGTTGACCGGCGCTGGCACCGCGGCCTTCGCTTCCCTTGTCAAGGTCGCCCCCCCCGGGGGCGCGAAGAGGGGGCCACATGCGAACCCTACCCCTACCCCCCACGAGTTCTGAGGGGGAGGGTGGGGTTCGCTTCGCTCGGGAGCGGGGGGCGCCCCCCGAGCAGCGCGGCTGCCGCGGCACGCTGTGGGCCCTCTGGCCGCCTCGCTCTGCCGGAGGTCTCCCACAGGTTGTTTCCTGAGTTGACCGACGCTGGCACCGCGGCCTTCGCTTCCCCTGTCAAGTTCGCCCCCCCGGGGGGCGCGAAGAGAGCCCCGGGGGGCGGGGGTGGACAGACCTCCTGCTCTGACACGTCGATTGAGGAACTGGCCGTTTTCGGTTCGCGAGAGGGCGTCGTGGCCGTCATTTTTGCAGGTCCAGGTCCGTCGGTTTCGGTCCCAGGCCGTTTTCACGAAGGGGAGGTCTACTGAAGGGAGGTTTGTCCACCGCCGAGGAGGGCGCCCCCGAGCAGCGCGGCTGCCGCAGCATGCTGCGAGCCGGTGGAGACTGTATGGTTGGCCAGGCGCTCCATGGGGCTCGGGCCACTCGCTCTCCGAGGACGCCTTCGGACGGCCGGAGCCACCGGGGCTATGTCGGGCGTGTCCCCCTACAGGGGGATTTTCGACGAACAAAAAATACCCCCAACATGCACCGAAAAGATCAAACAATACACAAAAGATAGTCCCCAGACTATTTTGGGAGCATTTTTTGAATATTTTTGTTTTTTTTATTTGTCGTCGAAAATCCCCCTGTAGGGGGACAGGCCCGATTTAACACCAGGGTCGACAAACCGTGCGGCGACGGACTGCGAAGTGGTAATTTTTAGTTGGGATCTCGAGGTCACCGCACGGTCAGTCTGAAGGGGCCCTGGGACACACAAATAAATACATACAAATAATCAGATTCCCAATATTTTCCCATATTTCCCATATTTTCTGGGTTTTCGTCTTCCCCCCCCACTTCCCATATCTTCCCATATTTCCCCATCTGTTCTAGGGACTCGAGGATGACTTGTGCCTGTGAGGTTTTCTCCCTCCTGACAATTGCCGCACGCCCAAGGGGGCCCCGAGGGACCGCGCTGCGAGCGTCGCGGCCCTGGCCACGTGGCTGCCCTCTCCTGCAAGGGTGGTGCCGCGAGGGCGCGAGGAGGCGGCCGCCCGTGGCGCACCACTGCAGGGCTCGCGCCGAGTCCTCCGGTTCCATTCGACTTCGGCGGTGTTCGATTCCCATCCGATCCGATTCGATTTCGGCGGTCTTCGACTTCGACGATTTCGATTTCGACGGTCTCGGGTTCGGTTTCGGAGTCCGACTCGGGATCCGATGTCTCAATGGAGGCCTGCAAGCCTGCCGATGTCTGCCGATTCGACTTTTCCCGACTCGGCTGCCGATTTCCGTCGATGCGATTCATGTCGATCGCCCATCCGACATGTCTGTTCGAGTGTGGGCTCTCCTGTCACTGGGCGCGAGGCGTGAGCTTAAGTGGTGTCGGTTCTCGGGCCTGTGGAACGTCCGCTCGTCGCGCCTTGATGTCCTGACATGTCCTCAAAGCCTTTCATGCTTTCGCGCCCTGTGGAGGAGGAGCAGGAGCAGGAGCAGGAGGAGGAGGAGGAGGAGGAGGGGCCCTCGTCCCAGCATTCCGCCCCTTGCCTCTGCGCCTCTGCTCGGAGCTGCGGCCGCGGGCAGGTTTCGCCATCGACTTCGTCCTGGGGGGCTTCTCGGGCGCTGTCGCCAAGACCCTCACCGCCCCCATCGAGCGCATCAAGCTGGTGGTGCAGACTCAGGCGCGAGGGAGGAGCAGGAGGATCACGGGTCAGCGGAGGAGGGCCAGTCGAGACAACGGTTAAGTCGGGCTTGTCCCCCTACAGGAGGAATATTCAAAAATAATGAAAAATAGTCGGAGGACTATTTTTTTGTATTTTTTGACCATTTCGGAGTACTTTGCGAGTATTTTTTATTTTTATCGAAAATCCCCCTATAGGGGGACACGCCTGACTTGAGACAGCGGCTGCCCTCCCAGGCGTTTGCCGTCCTTCCTGGACCCCCCTTGGAGGCTCCTCGCCGCCACGGCTGCCTCCGCGCCGAAGTTCCCGGTGGTCTTGCGAGTAGGCGGCGTCATCGCAGTTCGACCAGGTTGGGCGTCGGGTAGACTGACCGCCGTTGCGCGCATTCCTCTTCCAGGGCCATGCGTCGGAGGGTCGACAACGGTTTCCTCGGAATGAAAAACGAGCTGGGTGAAAAAGCGAACCAGCGTTCCACACCATCATTCGCTTTTGCGAAGTATTCGCTTGCTGGATACGGACATTGAAGCAACACTCGTTGTTGTAAAGACATGTGCGTATGTTTATGTGCTACAGGCTTGTTGTGTTTTCAATGCAAATGTATTATTCCCCACATGCTTCGTGGGGGTATGGTTTTCTTCCCTGCCGCGCCGCACCCGCGTCTCACCCGCACACCTCCCTCTCCGTCTCTCTCTCTCTCACACCTCACTGTTCCCCTCCTCCTCACAGCACTGCTCAGCACAGCTCAGCTCAGCTCATCTCAGCTCAGCACGGCACATCTTAGCGCAATTCAGCTCAGCTCAGCACGGCACAGCACAGCACAGCACAACTCACCGCAGCACAGCACAGCTCACCGCAGCACGGCACAGCACAGCACAACTCACCGCACAGCAGCACAGCACAGCACAACAGCACAGGGCTGGCGCGCAGGGCACGGCACGGCATAGCGTAGCACGGGTGGCATTTTCTCGACACCAGAGAGGGTGCGCAGGGGGTGGTCCCTCAGCGCGGTCTCTATGCGTGCCAGGGTCGGAGAGCGTGGCAGGGGTGGCACTTTCTCGACACCAGAGAGGGAGCGCAGGGGGTGGTCCCTTAGCGCGGTCTCTATGCGTGCCAGGGTCGGAGAGCGTGGCAGGGGTGGCACTTTCTCGACACCAGAGAGGGTGCGCAGGGGGTGGTCCCTCAGCGCGGTCTGTACGCGTGCCAGGGTCGGAGAGCGTGGCAGGGGTGGCAGTTTCTCGACACCAGAGAGGGTGCGCAGGGGGTGGTCCCTCAGCGCGGTCTGTACGCGTGCCAGGGTCGGAGAGCGTGGCAGGGGTGGCAGTTTCTCAACACCAGAGAGGGTGCGCAGGGGGTGGTCCCTCAGCGCGGTCTCTATGCGTGCCAGGGTCGGAAAGCGCAGCAGGGGTGGCATTTTCTCGACACCAGAGAGGGTGCGCAGGGGGTGGTCCCTCAGCGCGGTCTCTATGCGTGCCAGGGTCGGAAAGCGTGGCAGGGGTGGCATTTTTCTCGACACCAGAGAGGGTGCGCAGGGGGTGGTCCCTCAGCGCGGTCTCTATGCGTGCCAGGGTCGGAAAGCGTGGCAGGGGTGGCATTTTCACGACTCCAGAGAGGGTGCACAGGGGGTGGTCCATCAGCGCGGTCTCTATGCGTGCCAGGATCGGAGAGCGCAGCAGGGGTGGCATTTTCTCGACACCAGAGAGGGTGCGCAGGGGGTGCTCCCTCAGCGCGGTCTCTATGCGTGCCAGGGTCGGAGAGCGTGGCAGGGGTGGCACTTTCTCGACACCAGAGAGGGTGCGCAGGGGGTGGTCCCTCAGCGCGGTCTCTATGCGTGCCAGGGTCGGAGGGCGTGGCAGGGGTGGCACTTTCTCGACACCAGAGAGGGTGCGCAGGGGGTGGTCCCAGCGCGGTGCGCCACTGTGGCGAGCGCAGGTGGTCCCTCTCTATGCGTGCCAGGGTCGGAGAGCGTGGCAGGGGTGGCACTTTCTCGACACCAGAGAGGGTGCGCAGGGGTGGTCCCTCAGCGCGGTCTCTATGCGTGCCAGGGTCGGAGAGCGTGGCAGGGGTGGCACTTTCTCGACACCAGAGAGGGTGCGCAGGGGTGGTCCCTCAGCGCGGCCTCTATGCGTGCCAGGGTCGGAAAGCGTGGCAGGGGTGGCATTTTCTCGACACCAGAGAGGGTGCGCAGGGGGTGGTCCCTCTGCGCGGTGTCTATGCGTGCCAGGGTCGGAGAGCGTGGCAGGGGTGGCACTTTCTCGACACCAGAGAGGGTGCGCAGGGGGTGGTCCTTCAGCGCGGTCTCTATGCGTGCCAGGGTCGGAGTGCGTGGCAGGGGTGGCATTTTCACGACACCAGAGGGGGTGCACAGGGGGTGCTCCCTCAGCGCGGTCTCTATGCGAGCCAGGGCCGGAGAGCGTGGCAGGGGTGATACTTTCTCGACACCAGAGAGGGTGCGCAGGGGGTGGTCCCTCAGCGCGGTCTCTATGCGTGCCAGGGTCGGAGAGCGTGGCAGGGGTGGCACTTTCTCGACACCAGAGAGGGTGCGCAGGGGGTGGTCCCTCAGCGCGGCCTCTATGCGTGCCAGGGTCGGAAAGCGTGGCACTTTCTCGACACCAGAGAGGGTGCTGCTATCACCACGCAACAACCATGCTAAGTATGTGGGGTTCCTCGGTAGCGTAATTATGATGTTCGAAAGTAGCTTTTTTATCGGACATCCCCTCCAGTTGGCAGTGGATTCGTCTCAAGCAGTGGCGAAGCGTCCTGGCTCGCCTATAGGCCTACGTAGCACCCCGCAGTTGCGGATAAGAGTGATGGGGGCGGCAGGGACGGTGGCAGTCTGCGCGGCTTTGACGAAGCACGCCGCAGGCGCAAGTTTTTCAAGCTATACAAGGAGCCCGCCGCAGGCGCTGATTACCAAAGCATGTTCTAAGAACCTCGGGTGGTTTGCACGAATTGTTCTTAGAACAGGGGACTGTTTTGTTTTAACAAATCGGGTTCATGTTCTAAGAACATTGCCATTGTTCTTAGAAACATTCTGGGTTCCAAGAACTTTCCGTGGTAGGACTATAGGAATGCCGGGACGGTCGGTCCCTGCTCAATCATCTGGGGATGGAGCAAAGACGTAATCGGTGAGTGAACTGCACGGGGACCAATGCAGGCTCCGTGCGCGGTCGCAGCCAATAGCGACCGCGCGGTCTGCGCGGGGCCATTGCAGGCGTGTTCCACTCGAGGTGCGGACCGATACATATCAGGAGGGAAACAACACAGACACAATTGATCGTCGACTCCCCAGAAGATATGGGAAAATATGGGAAGTGGGGGGAAGACGAACATCCAAACGAACATCCGAAACATATAAGAAAATATTTGGAGTCCTGTTATTTGTGTCTATTTATAATTGTGTGTCCCAGGGTCCTTTCAGTGTGCCACGCGAGAGTGCGGAGTGAGACATACTTTTCCAAATGAGATCTGAACCGCTTCAAATCAGGAAGGAGAAAAACACAGACACAATTAACCGTCGATTCCCCAGAAAATATGAGAAAATATGGGAAGTGGGGGAAGACACAAACCCAGAAAATATTGGAAAATATGGGGAATCCTGTCATTTGTGTCTATTTATTTGTGTGTCCCTGGGTTTCCTTTAAATGTCATTGGTCAGTCCCGCCCGCTCGTCCCGCCCCATCTGGGCCGGCCGCTGGCTCGTCGTGGCTTCTGCCCCCCCTTCTCGGTTGCAGACGAAGGTGAGCGAGCTAGATTCAGGAGGGAAAAACACACAGACACAATTAATCGTCGATTACCCAGAAAATATTGAAAATTATGGGAAGTGGGGGGGGAAGACGGAAACCCAGAAAATTCAGGAACATATAGGGGAATCCTGCTATTCGTGTGTATTTATTTGTGTGTCCCAGGGCCCCCTCATAGATGAGAAGAACGAGGATGATGATGAGGAGGAGGAGGATGAGAATGGGCGGGGGGGGAGGATGAGGAAGGAGAGGGCGAGGAGGGGGGAGATCGGGCCCCCTCCTTTCCCTTCCCTCCTGCGCTCTCCAGGGGGGCGAGGACGCCCTCAAGAGAGCCCCTGCCCCTGGACGGGTGTCTTGGCTCATCCTCAGCGCCCTCGTTCCTGTTCGCCACCCCTAGCGGCCTGCAGCTCCGAGCATCGGGTTCCTTGCAATCAGTGCCAAGCGCCGAGGGGGTTGGAGAAGAGCTGTCTCTCCATAAGTAAGGCTCCTGCAAGGAGTGAATTTCACTGCTGGAAGGGCCCCGTCGGAAGACAACCGTCCGAGAATCCCCAATCGTGCCAAAACACAGTTCCTTGAAGTTCAACGCCGCGAGTCAACGTTGCTCTTGCGTCCTGACGGACCTGAATCGTCACTGAAATCCGTTTTTGGGGCTTCAACACCGCGAACCAACGTGATTGCTGCACCCTGACAATCCTAAATCGCGAGGGAAACCATTCCAGGGACGTCAACCATAAGAATCCGTTACGTCGCTGTAGTCGTTTACGACGAATGTGTACGGTGTTGACATGTTGAAACGGCCCCCTGTATGCGTTAAATTCTTGCGATCTTTGAGCAAGAATGTGTTCGGCGCTGAGGCGAGAGTCACATCTTGAAAAGGGAACCTCCTCCATCCGTGAAGCTCCTGCGATCTGTTACGGCGAATGCGCGCGGCGTTGAGGCGAGAGCAGCATTTTGAAAATGAACCGCCATCTATCCGTGGAGATCCTGCGAGCTTTCAAGGCAAGTGTTCGCAGCGCGATGACGAGAGCCACATGTTTCAAAGGGAGCCGGTCTACGCCCGTGAAACTGCTATAAACTTTCAGAAGATATTGCGCGGCGCCACGGCGAGAGCTACATTTTAAAAACCCTCCCGCCTTCCATCCGTGAAACCCTTGCAAACTCCGAAGCCTCAAGATACGTGTTGAGGGAGCCTCAAGCGAAACGCCCAGCCCGCCCTGCCGACACGTCGCAGGGTGCGACAGGGAAGGGTTCAGTAGGGGT